CACAGGGGCCCCCAGAGACCACCACTAAAGACGGAGCAGTGAAGGCCCCCAGCTGGTAGCCCAGAGATAAGGCCATCAAGACCTGACTCGTACGCCCCTGCAGCAGCAGCAGCAGCAGCACCAGCAGCAGCAGCGGCAGCAGCAGCACACAAACAGCTTTGAGGCAGAAACTGCAGAAACAGCGGAAGGCGCTGCTGCTGCGCCTGCTTCCGCACAGCGGCACTGGCAGGAAACGCAGAAACACCAACTGTAGGCTCAGTCTCAGCAGAAGCAGCAAGACACGCGGCAGCAGCAGCAGCAGTAGGTGCAGCAGCAGCAGCAGCAGCTGCGACTTGCCATGCCCGCCTCATCCGCCAAGACAGCCCCACCCACTGGGCGCCTCGTCTCTGAGGGCTGCAGCGCCGCGCAGAGCCATCGAACACCTGCAGCAGCAGCAGGCAGCAGCAGCAGCAGCAGCAGCAGCTGAGGACAGAGGCGAATTGCAAAATAATTCAGAAATAAATAAATGTAAAGCACCGTAAAATAAGCAAATAAAAAGTATTCAAATTTATAAGTCATTTAAATAAAAGTAATTAATAAAACTCTTTATAAAAGACAAAGAAATGCAGCACATGCACAAACAGTAAGAGGGGGCCCCAGAGGAGCGGGGGGGCCCCCGGGGCCACGGGGGCCCCTTAGCTGCAGAGGGCATGCACTCCACACGCCCCTCCGGCTGCTACTGCTGCTGCTGCTGCTTCTGCTGCTACTCTTGCTGCTGCTGCTGTTGCTGCTGCTGGTGCTGCTGCTGCTGGGCCTACCGGCAATTTGGTAGTTGTGCCTCTGCATGCGAAAAAGAAGGCGAATTGTGGCTTGAGAAACATCGGGCACAGAAAGGCGGGGGAAGGCGCAGCAGCACCAGCAGCAGCAACCTGCTGCTGCTGCTGCTTCTATGTCTCCTGCTCGGAGGCAGCCCCCTGCAGCCACGCCTGGTTTGCTGCTGCTTCCCTGGCCGCTGCATCCGCCTTTCTGCGGCAGCGCTGCAGCAGCAGCAGCAGCTGCTGCAGCAGCAGAGGTCCCT